CCCCCCCCCCCCCCCCGAACTAATTTTCGACGCTCGAAAATTCGACAGAGGCAAAAGCGGCCGTACCAAGCATGGCAGCGTTGGGATAATCTCTCATCTCATCGAGAGCTTTCCGAAAACGCTGAGTTTTATTGATTTCTACGTCCACCCTCGTCGTTGGGTAATCAGGCTTTGAAAGTCGATCCAAAGGGTTATGATATCTTTCATGTTACCCACGGTAGTATTTGAGTGTACTCTGACGCCCAGTTTGATTCACTTGCACCGACATGACTGACATGGGAAGAACATCATTGTGGTGGGAATATTCAGAGCAGAACGAGCTCGACCTTCGTCGCAAAAAATCTCGCCCTTAGGTCGGACGATCGCGCGCATAGGGTTAGCCACGACGATGCCACACCGAACTCTCCAAAGGGCATCCTCCAAAAGGCAATTATCAGTCATAAACCCCAGGTGACCTACAGCGACATAGGACGACCCCCCCCCCCTGCGCTTTTCTTTGCACGGCTCGNNNNCCCCCCCCCCGTGCGCTTTTCTTTGCACGGCTCGAATCGCGCGTTGCGTGCCGTTCTCAAGTTCTATGGCACGAACCTGCCTACGAAAATAAAAACAAGTTATCTCGAAAACAGACCAAGTAGGGGACACTCAGACCCTAAACCCAACCCCAACCTTAGCTGATTCTGTACCATCACCAATATGCTTGCCTACTGAAAAGTCCTGCGTGGACTACTGTGGGCAGACAGGCACACCTGGTCGGGCGAGGGTACACCTCCAACAGGCACCAAGCACGCCCGCACCGTCACGTCCTCAAGCTCTCGGGAGGTTAGGGGCCTCGCGCCGCCCCCGTCCCCCCCCGCCGCTTGCTCCTTTTCCTCGACGAGGAGCTCTCTCACGCGCTCCTGGACCGCGCGACACCCGAGCGGTACGCCTGCCGTTGTCGTCGGAGGGTGTTTGCGGAGATTTTGCAGGGAGGGGAGAAAAAACGGGGGTGCAATGGAGGAGGGATTGCGGAGATTTCACAGGGGGGGGAGGGGACCCCTCTAGTCAGCCACGACACTCCGTCTTGCGCGACACGCTACCTTTTGGACCGTTGGGGTGGTCGCCCTTTGAGAGCAAAACCGGACTGCTGCCCGTCTTGCACGCCCAACGCCAACACGAAAACGGCATCGTGGTCGTCGGGAAAGGGACCGCCCGCGCGTGGCTCTCGCAGGCCGTTTGCTGCGCACCACGCTGCACCACAAGGCCTCGCAAGGGCGGAACGGGGTATCGACTCTCCGGCTGTCTCATTCTACGGGGCCCCTCCGAGCGAGGAGGCAACGATACGTACGCTTCGTTATGCCCGGTACGCACGCCTCCAGAATACCCTCCAGACACCGGCAGCATTTCTGGGCAAAATTATTACGGCTTGTCGAACCGCCCACGGGTCTACCAATCATCCCAGCATCCGGTTTGTTGTTCGGATGCAAAATACGGCTCGCTTTGGTCACAGACAACGGCAGCGCAGAGAGTCGAGGCTCCACTCCCGCAATGCGAACAATACCCTGCTGTGCACACGCACACAATATTCAGTGCACCTACTCTTACGCTAGAGGGTAAGATCCACGCTCAGGAGACAGGAAGAATACCATATCGTGGCTCCAGATCCCGGCTCGAGCAGAAGAGACTCTGCATGTAGCTCTTGCCACTACATCAGTATCGCCCAAAACTTCGAAACCAGGAGCAAGACCGATTCTCGGAATGTTTTTGTTTCCCTCGGCCTTCCCTGTGGAAGTGAAAGCACCAGAAAATAAAAATAAAGTCATACACAGCCGTCATTCGTGCGCAATGAAGTAGTCACAAGATGCCGACACCCTCAGCAGGATGCAGCGCACCCTCAATGCGACTTACCGAATACCTCACGGAGCTTCGCACTTGGTGACATGAGAGCCTGGTCCGGTGAGAACCCGGCGGGTCCGTCCCGGCTTTGCGGGGATGCGAAGTCTATGGCCTAAAGAGTACGGCATGCACGGCTATGAGTATCCCCCCCGCCCCCGCTTTACCTGCGTACGAGCTCGTGAGAGTGGCGCCTCTGTAAACAGCCACGACGTGTGCTTCTGATCGCCCGATGTCCAAGACCATGCCAGTGTCCGCTCCGGTGCAGAACAGGGCGGGCGCGGGGCCGGCGCACATGTGAAGGGAGGGCACCTTTCGATTGATCGACCAGGGGGACCCCAGGCAACAGGTGTGACCACACGTATGATGCATCACAGGGAACAAACACGCAGGGGAATGGCTGCAATAGTCAAGCGCGACCTCTTAGGCAAACGGGGAATCTTCCAAAGGAAGCACACCCTGTACAACTACTTTAGTTGTCAGTTGTCTGGCAGACAACTATTTCTTGAACAAGCTGCGCCACTAGCTGCCTGCAGACAACTACTGTTTGGAAAAGCTGCGCAACTAGTTGTCCGCAACTATTGGGTAGTTGCTGCCCTGCACAACTAAAGTTGTAGTTGCCAGTTGCAGTTGTACAGGGTGTGAAAGGAAGCACACAATATAGCAGCCAGCCACGGCAGGGATGAGCCAACCCATAGTGCAGAGTGGTAAACAACAACGCTCTATCCCGCACTGCCAGCCGTTGGACACGCGGAGCTTCGGGGTCCGTTCAGAGACACCGTGCGTTGGATTACATGTTTCGCTCGCCAGTTGAGGGCCGTGCATCTCACCGTCTGTGTGTCTCTCCTTACTATCCTCTTTCTGCGCTCCCTCCGCTGTGTCTGCTCCCTTCCCTACACAGCTTGCACCCCCCCCCCTCCCCCCCCCCCCCCCCCTCCTGT